ACCTCATCCCGCCCCCTTGACCTGTCCGTCCTCCCTATACTGACGTATCTCCTCCCTACCTCCCCACCTACACTCACCTTTACTGGCTCCATCCCCGCCTCTTTGACCTGTCTGTTTCCTCTCCACCTATCTTCTCCTCTATCCATCTTCTATCCGCCTCCCCCTCTCTCCCTATTTATTTCAGAACCCCCTTCCCCTCCCCCATTTCTGATGAAGGGTCTAGGCCCGAAACGTCAGCCTTCCTGCTCCTCTGATGCTGCTTGGCCTGCTGTGTTCATCCAACTCTACACCTTGTTATCTCAGATTCTCCAGCATCTGCAGTTCCTACTATCTCTGTCTCGGTTCTCATTTGATTATAGGACCACACCTCATGCAACTACAGGGATACCTCCAGTTGTGGTGCTAATGGGGAGAAAACTCCGCACCAGGTTAAATCTAATCTTCCTGGGCCTTGGGAGGGTGAAATGGCATCAGGAACGCCAATGTCAGGCACAAGACTCCGCCAAGAAAGAGAGACAGTTTACTACTGAGGATGAATTTGGGTGTAGGAACCAAGGGAATGACCCCGCATGTGTGAGAGGATTAGTCAATGCAAGATTAGGATCAGTAATGTGTAGAGTTCAGGTAAGAGTGATGGTCCTGAACATGCATGTGGACCTATGCATGTTGCAAAGTTGCTGATGGTGTAGAAGCAAAATGTGACCAGCTCCTCGGGACAGTTCAAACAACTGTCGATCCTGTGGGTTCTCTGTTTTTGTCAAGTGTTGAAAACACCTCTGAATCTGAGATGGATCTCGCCTAATCGATGTCTTTGCTGCTGGAAGAAGTGTGAATTTCTCCCAACATGCTCTGGGCACAAGAAGTGAGCTCCTGCCTGTCATATACCACCCATATCCAACGCAGAGAAATGTCAGACATTCTGACATTCGAGAGCTGGCTCTGATGGAGCTGGATCACCGTTAGGGACTTTCCACGTGTAAATAAAGGGTGAGTTGGTGGCAGGATACCGGCCTCTGGAGTTATTTCAATAAGGTTAGGGACAGGTATGTTGATATTAAGAAGGAAGAGGTGGTTTGTGCCTTGATAAACAAGAAGCTAGTTATGTCCCCATGGTCTGATTAGATGTATCTCAGGATACTGAAGGAGACCTGGTGAAAGATTGCTGGGGCACTGACAGAGATATTTATATCCTTTTTAGCCACAGGAGAGGTCCAAGACACTGGAGATTAGCCACCTGGGAAAATACAGTAAATTTTACGTGATTGAGCTTTACATCAGAGGTAGGGAAATTATTGGAGAAGATTATTAGGGACAGAATCTACTTGCATTTAGAAAATAATTGACTTATTAAGTATAGTAAGGGTGGCTTTGAGTAGGGGAGGACTTGTCTCTCAAAGTTGTTTAAGTTCTTTGAGGAAGTGATGAAGTTAATTGATGGGGGTAGGGAAACAGAAATTGTCTCCATGGACTTAATTAAAGCATTTGACAAGGTCTTTCATGGTAGGGACCCATAGCCTGTTGGTAGTTTGAATACAAAATTGGCTTGGTCATAGAAGACAGAGGATAATTGTGGAGAGTGTTTTTCTTACTGGAGGTCTGTGACCAGTGGCATTCCACAAGGGTCAGCTCTGGGACCTCTTGCTTGTAGTACATACAAATGACTTGGACAAAAATGCATGTGGTATGATTATTAGGTTTGCAGTTGATACAAAAAATGGTGGAGTTGTGGATAGTGAGGAATGTTGTCAAAGGATACAGCAGGATATAGATCAGTTGGAAAGTTGGTGGGGAGAAATGGCAGATGGAGTTTAATCTGGCCAAGTGTAAGGTGATGCATTTTGGGAGGTCAAATGCATGAGGAAAGTACACAGTAAATGGCAGGATGCTTAGGAGCATTGATATACAGAGGGATCTTGGGTGCAAGTGCATAGCTTCATTGGTTGGGGCATTGGGTATAAAAGTTGGCAAGTCATGTTGCAGTTGTATAAAATTTAGTGAGGCCACATGTGGAGTATTGTGTGTAGTTCTGGTCATCACATTATAGGAAGGATGTGGAGGATTTGGAGAGGGTGTAAAAAAGGTTTACCACAATGTTGCCTGGATTGGAGTGTGCTGGCTATAAAGAGAGTTTGTACAAACTTGGATCATTTTTGTAAGACTGTTGGAGGCTGAGGGTTGACCTGATAGAAGTATATAACATTATGAAAGACATCCATAGGGTGGATAGTCAGATTCTTTTTCCCAGGGTGGAAAAATGAGGAGGGGAAAGTTTAAAGGAGATGTGCAAGGCAAGTTTTTACACAGAGGGTGGTGGGTGCCTAGAACTTGTTGCCAGGGGAGGTGGTAAAAGCAAATTTGATAGAAAGGTCTAAGAGGCATTTAAACAAGACACATGAGCAGGCGGATAACAGAGAGATATGGACCATGTGCAGGAGCATGGGATTAGTTTAGAATGGTACCTTGATTGGCATAAACATGGTGGGCTGAAGGGCCTGTTCTTGTGCTGTACTGTTCTATGTTCCATATTTTATGATATTGCAAGTCGTCGTTTTTCGTAATTTGTCCAGTTTCATTAAGAGCGCTTGAGTCAATTCTGACGTAGATTCTGCATTTGTTACTTTAAATTACGTAATATGTTGTGACACACTTCATCCTTTACAGAACACCCAATTCTATTTAACAGGACACACTCTGGACACTTTTGTCACTCTGTGGCAATATCTGTGTTCATGTCTCCAAACATTGTAGAAGCCTCTGAGTGAGCTGGCTGGTGTCTAACAAGCTAGATGGGCAAGAAAATTATTTTTTCAGCTTACTCACAGGATACATCATTCACTGTCTGAGAAGGTATGTCATTATGAATCAGAAGTTTAATTGAACTGATTTTGTTAAAAAAGATTACTTGTGTTCATCTTTTTTGGTCCCTGTTTTATATAGTAATGCGAGTGGGCAATCAATAGGAAAGTAAATTGAATCATGAAATGATTAAAACTCAAAAGGAGTTGACTTATTGTGTCCATGCTGTCTCTCTGAAGGAACAACTCAGCTGCTCCCCTATAGATTGTTTCACCTTTGATGCTTATCCAGTTCCCTTTCCAAAGTCATGGTTGAGTCTATCTCCATCCCTCTTTCAGGCGGAACATTGCATTTCCTAACCATTCACTATGTAAAATAACTTTTCCTCATGTCACTTCTGTCACTTTCGGGTGGGACGGTGGCTCAGTGGTTAGCACTGCTGCCTCATAGCACCAAGAATCGGGGTTTGATTCCACCCTCGGGCAACTGTCTGTGTGGAGTTTGCACATTCTCCCCGTGTCTGCGTGGGTTTCCTCCCACAGTCCAAAGATGTGCGAGTTAGGTGGATTGGCCATGCCTAAGGTAGGGGTAGAGGTTTAGATAGACCTTAGGATTAGGGTAAAAGTTTGGCAGAACATCGTGGCTGAAGGGTCTGTACTGTGCTATACTGTTCTATGTTCAATGTTCTAAATATCCCAAGATATAGATGCTTCAGGCGGGATAGAGAGGGAGGTAAAAGGGGTGGAGGAGTTGCATTACTGGTCAAAGAGGATATCACAGCTGTGCTGAAGGAGGGCACTATGGAGGACTTGAGCAGTGTGGCAATATGTGCAGAGCTCAGAAATAGGAAGAGTGTGGTAACAATGTTGGAGCTGTACTACAGGCCTCCCAACAGCGAGCGTGAGATAGAGGTACAAATATGTAGACAGATTATGGAAAGATGTAGGAGCAACAGGGTGGTGCTGATGGGAGATTTTAATTTTCTCAACATTGACTGGGATTCACTCAGTGTTAGGTGTTTAGATGGAGCAGAATTTGTAAGGAGCATCCAGGAGGGTTTTCGAGAGCAGGATGTAAATAGTCCAACTCGGGAAGGGGCCATATTGGACCTGGTGTTGGGGAATGAGCCCGGCCAGGTGGTTGAAGTTTCAGTAGGGGATTACTTTGGGAATAGTGATCACAATTCCGTAAGTTTTAGAATACTGATGGACAAAGATGAGAGTGGTCCTAAAGGAAGAGTGCTGAACTGGGGGAAGGCCAACTATAGCAAAATTCAGCAGGAGCTGGGGAATGTGGATTGGAAGCAGCTGTTTGAGAGTAAGTCCACATTTGATATGTGGGAGGTTTTTAAAGAGAGGTTGATTAGAGTGCAGGACAGACATGTCCCTGTGAAAATGAGGGATAGAAAGGGCAGGATTAGGGAACCATGAATGACAGGTGAAATTGTGAGACTAGCAAAGAGGAAAAAGGAAGCATACATAAGGTCTAGGCGACTGAAAACAGACCAAGCTTTGGAAGAGCATCGGGAAAGTTGGACCAATCTGAAACGAGGAATTAAGAGGGCTAAAAGGGTTCATGAAATATCTTTAGCAAACAGGGTTAAGGAAAATCCCAAAGCCTTTTATTCATTCATAAGGAGCAAGAGGGTACCTAGAGAAAGGGTTGGCCCACTCAAGGACAAAGGAGGGAAGTTATGCGAGGAGTCAGAGAAAATGAGTGAGATTCTTAATGAGTACTTTGCGTCGGTATTCACTGAGGAGAGGGACATGATGGATGTTGAGGTTAGGGATAGATGTTTGATTACTGTAGGTCAAGTCAGCATAAGGAGGGGGAAAGTGTCGGGTATTCTAAAAGGCATTAGGGTGGACAAGTCCCCAGGTCCGGATGGGATCGATCCCAGGTTACTGAGGGAAGCGAGAGAGGAAATAGCTGGGGCCTTAACAGATATCTTTGCTGCATTCTTGAGCACGGGTGAGGTCCCAGAGGAGTGGAGAATTGCTAATGTTGTCCCCTTGTTTAAGAAGGGTAGCAAGGATAATCCAGGTAATTATAGACCGGTGAGCCTGATGTCAGTGGTGGGGAAGCTGCTGGAGAAGATACTGAGGGATAGGATCTATTTACATTTGGAAGAGAATGGACTTATTAGAGATAGGCAGCATGGTTTAGTGCAGGGAAGGTCATGTCTTACCAACTTGATAGAATTCTTTGAGGAAGTGACAAAGTTGATAGATGAGGGAAGGGCTGTAGATGTCATATACATGGACTTCAGTAAGGCGTTTGATAAGGTTCCCCATGGTATGCTGATGGAGAAAGTGAAGTCGCATGGGGTCCAGGGTGTACTAGCTAGATGGATAGAGAACTGGCTGGGCAACAGGAGACAGAGTTGTCGTGGAAGGGAGTTCCTCAAAATGGAGAACAGTGACCAGTGGTGTTCCACAAGATCCGTGTTGGGACCACAGTTGTTTGTGATATACATAAATGATCTGGAGGAAGGTATAGATGGTCTGATTAGCAAGTTTGCAGATGACACTAAGATTGGTGGAGTAGCAGGTAGTGAAGGGGACTGTCGGAGAATGCAGCAGAATATAGATAGATTGGAGAGTTGGGTGGAGAAATGGCAGATGGAATTCAATCCAGGCAAATGTGAGGTGATGCATTTTGGAAGATCCAATTCAAGGCGAACTATGTGGTAAATGGAAAAGCCCTGGGGAAAATTGATGCACAGAGAGATCTGGGTGTTCAGGTCCATTGTACCCTGAAGGTGGCAACGCAGTGGATAGAGTGGTCAAGAAGGCATACGGCATGCTTTCATTCATCGGACGGGGTATTGAGTGCAAGAGTTGGCAGGTCATGTTACAGTTGTATAGGACTTTGGTTTGACCACGTTTGGAATACTGCATACAGTTCTGGTCGCCACATTACCAAAAGGATGTGGATGCTTTGGGGAGGGTGCAGAGGAGGTTCACCAGGATGTTGCCTGATATGGAGGGCGCTAGCTATGAAGAGAGGTTGAGTAGATTAGGATTATTTACATTAGAAAGACAGAGGTTGAGGGGGGACTTGATTAAGGTCTACAAAATCATGAGGGGTATAGACAGGGTGGATAGCAAGAAGCTTTTTCCCCAGAGTGGGGGAGTCAATTACTAGGGGTCACGATTTCAAGGTGAGGGGAAAAGTTTAAGGGAGATATGTGTGGAAAGTTCTTTACGCAGAGGGTGGTGGGTGCCTAGAACGCCTTGCCAGCGGAGGTGGTAGAGGCAGGCACGATCGCATCATTTAAGATGTATCTAGACAGATACATGAATGGGCAGGGAGCAGAGGGATACAGATCCTTGGAAAGTAGGCGACAGGTTTAGATAGAGGATCTGGATCAGCGCAGGCTTGGAGGGCCGAAAGGCCTGTTCCTGTGCTATAATTTTCTTTGTTCTTTGTTCTTTGTTCTATGGTAAATTGCCCGTAGTGTTCAGGAATATGTAGATTAGGGGGATGGGTCTGGGTGGGATGCTGTGAAGGTCAGTGTGGACTTGTTGGGCTGAGGGGCCTGTTTCCACACTCTACGGATTCTGGTTCTTATACCTGAAGTTGGTGCCTTCTGGTGTCCTTCCACCAATCAAAACAATTCCTCTCGATCCACTCTGCCTGGACCATTCGTGAATTTGAAGATTTCTATCAAGCCTCCTCACCACCATCTCTCTTAGAAGGAGAGTATCAAGAACCTTTCCAATTGATCTCCATTAACTGAAATGGTGCATTGCTGGGATCATTCTCATAAAAGTTTAAAGGCTTCCCATCCTTCTTAATGTGTAGTGCCCAGAATTAGACAATACTTCGGCTGAGGTTGAACAGCTTTTTATTAAGCTTCACCGTGGCATCTTTGCTGTCGTAGTCTGTACTTCAACTTATCAAAACCTAGGTTCTGCCTTTTTAACAGTGTTCTAAATCTTCCCTATCACTTTGCAATGACTGGTGCAGATATACTATCAGATCCTTCTGCTTTTGCATCCATTGTATGTGAAATGAGCTGCCAGAGAACATAATAGATGCAGGGACAGTTACAACATTCAGAAGGCATTTAGACAAGTACATGAATAGGAAAGTTTTAGAGGGATATGGGCCAAATGCAAGCAAATGGAATTAGTTTAGTTTAGGAAATCTCGTTGGCACGGACGAGTTGGATCGAAAGTATGTTTCTGTGCTGTGATTCTAGGAGTTTATTTCATATTGCCTCACCTTGTCCTACCCAACAAAATGCGTCATTTCACATTACAGTTCAAATGCTATGTGTCTGTCCATTCCACCAAACAGTACATGTTTTGCAATCCATCACATTATTTCCAAATGTTGTAACAACTGCAAATTATAAAACTATGTCCTGCACATCCAAATACGGCTCATTATCTGTATCAACAAAGGCAGGGCTCATGACATTAATCACTGGGAACACCATTACCTGTATGTACTTATATCCAGATCCATAAAGTTCACTGCCACTCTCTGTTTCCAATTATTCATCTAATTTCTGATGAGGTCTAATTCCTAACCTTTTAATTTTTTGCTGACAAATCTACACATCATGTCATCAAATATCTTTTGGAAATCCATACACAACATCATCTGTATTCATTACCCTGAGCAGGTATCTCTGTTACCATAACAACCTGTGAGAGTTCACAGTTCAGAGATTTGGGGCGGCATGGTGGCTCAGTGGTTAGCACTGCTGCCTCACAGCGCCAGGGACCCGGGTTTGATTCCAGCCTCGGGCAACTGTCTGCGTGGAGTTTGCACATTCTCCCCGTGTCAGCATGGGTTTCCTCTGGGTGCTCCGGTTTGCTCCCACGGTCCAAAGATGTGCCAGCCCACAGTCCAAAGATGGTGCAGATTTGATGGACTGAATGGCCTCTTTCCACATTGTAGGGATTCTATGATTCACATTTTCCCAATTTTATTCCATTTGCCATTTTTTTGCCCATTTATTTAACCTATCAATATCTGAGCAATACACAAGCGTTATCATAGAATCATAGAACCCCTACAGTGTGGAAACAGGCCCTTCAGCCCAACAAGTCCACACTGCCCCTCAGAGCATCTCACCCAGACCCATCTCCCTATAACCCACATATCCCTGAACACTATGGGCAATTTAGCATGGCCAATCCACCTAACCTGCACACCTTTAGACTGTGGGAGGAAACTGGAGCACCCGGAGTAAACCCATGCAAACACTGGGAGGACATGAGATTGTTCATTTTGGAAAGGTGATCAAAAGGACAGGGTGTTATTTAAATGGAGAAAAACTGCAGAAAGCTGCAACACAAAGGGACTTGGGAGGACTTGTGCATGAAACACAGAAAGCTAGTACACAGGGCTCAGCAGGTAATCAGGAAGGCTCATGGAATGTTGGGTCTATTACAAGTGCCTTGGAGTGTAAGAGTTGGGATGTCTTGCCACAACTGTATGTCACTTCACTTGTTAAAGGAGCAGGTGGATTTCAAATAAACCTGTTGGGACTATAACCTGGTGTCATATGACTTCTGAATTTGCATCTGTACAAAGTGCTAGTGAGACCACATCTGGACTACTATGAGTAGTTTTGGTCCCCGTATTTAAGGAAAGACAATTTCATTGGAGGACTGTACAGGATAGGTGCAAGAAGCATGTTCCAATGCCAGGGAGTCAAGAGCCAGGGGATCATAGTCTAAGGGTAGGCTGAGGCAAAGAATTTACTACCACAGAAATTTGGCCCATCTTCTGTCTATATGTCCACTCAGTTTACCTATCTATACCTCTTTGCAGCCGTTTTGTTTTCTACTTACATGTCACATTGCAACTTAGCTCTCGGATGAACCCATGGGAAATGTTTCTATTGTGTTCAATTCTGGTCACCATATTACAGGGAGGATGTGGAGGCTTTGGGGAGGGTGCAGAAGAAGTTTACCAGGATATTGCCTGGATTAGAGTGTATGAACTATAAGGAGAGGCTTGAAAAGCTACGGCTGTTTTCTCTGGAGTGGCAGAGGCTGAGAGGAGACTTGATAGAAATCTATAAAATTATGATATGCATAGACACGTTTGATAGTCAGAATCTTTCTCCCCGATCTGAAATCTCTTATACAAAGGGGCATACATTTAAGGTGAGAGGTGGAAAGACGTGAGGGGCAAGATTTTTTGCAGAGATGGTAGCAGTCTGGTACACGCTGCCAGGGATGGTGGTGGAGTCAGATACGACAAGGGTGTTTTAAGGGGCTTTTAGATAAACACATGAATATGCAAGGAATGGAGGGATATGGACCAAGGGCAGACAGAAGGGAATAGTTTAATTTGGTGTCATATTTGGCACATCGTGGGCCAAAGGGCCGTTCCTACTCTATGTTCTATTTAACGGAGTTGAGAGTTATGCAGAGAGAGGGGGAGGGGAGAGGGAATGAGGCAGACAACAAAGTGCATTTAAGACCACAACCCAATCAGCCATGACCTTATTGAATGGCAAAGTAAGCTTAAAGGGCCAAATGACGTACACCTGCTCATAAGCCCTTTGATCCTGTGTGCCTTTAGTATTCTCTGTGTGTGCCTAGTTGCAAATTTCAAAAAAAAGTCATATTTTGCCTTTGTTCTGTGTCTTTAGCTGCAGAAAGAGACTTGGGACAAATCAAACAACCTGTTTGACAATTATGCTTTTCATGGTGAAGTTGACGATGATCTAAACACGTTTTCCATGGGAAACAAATCAATCAACACAACACTGGCTATTGTCTATATATTGTCCTCACTCCCTGATTTTCTTTCTTTCAGAAGATGGACAGCCAGAAATTTGAACTTGGCGATCTTGACTTTGATAATATATTTGAAGATTATACAAATGCTTATGACTACATTATTGATCCAGACGTGTCGCCTTGTCACCCTGAAGTGAATGAGTCAATCAACATGGCTCTGGCTGTTATCTATAGCCTGGTGTGCTTCCTCGCTGTGACAGGGAACATTATTGTAATGATTGTCCTACTTCATAATCGTCATACCATATCATCCACAGACACCTACCTGCTACATCTGGCAGTGGCTGATTTGCTCTTTGCTGTGACCTTGCCTTTTTGGGCAGTGGATGCCGTATCTGGCTGGATGTTTGGTGATGCCATGTGTAAAATTATCAGCATGTTACAGGAGATTAACTTCTACAGTGGGATTTTATTGCTGGCTTGTATCAGTATTGATCGTTTTCTGTCCATTGTCTACGCTACACAGGCCCACAAGCAGAAGAGACCATTTATATCTCAGCTGGTTTGTGCTGCTGTTTGGTTGATGGCTATTGTCTTATCTTTACCAATTTTGTACAAAGGTGAATTTACTCCACCTGGTTCCAAAAGACAGATGTGTTATGAGATGCTTGATGGGGAATCAGCAGCAATTTGGAGAGTGACGACCAGATTTTTGCGGCATTTTATTGGATTTCTCATCCCATTGGCTGTCATGGTCTTCTGTTACAGTGTGACAATCCAGAAACTGTTTCAAACGAAGGGATTCCAGAAACATAAAGCCATGAAAATCATCATCGTGGTGGTATTGGTTTTTCTCATTTGTTGGTTCCCACACAATATTGCTGTGTCCTTCGACACACTGATGAGGAGCCAACTCATTGCTGAGACTTGTGAGAAGCGTAATCGTATTGATCAAACTTTAATTGGAACTCGAAGTTTGGGATTCCTGCACAGTTGCATTAACCCATTTGTATATGGGTTTATCGGGGTGAAATTCAGGAGGAATCTGTTCAAGCTCTTGGCTTCAAAAGGCATCATGAAGCGAAGTTATGATTCACAATATACGAGATCTTCATCCTCTTCCTCATCTGGCGTGTAAAGTCTTTGTGACATTGGTTGATGTCTATCAGCAAAATGGCAAATAAAAAAAATAAATGATAAAGAACGAGTGACTTAGTAACTAATTGACGAACAATACAATTCTGAACTTTGTTTTTAAGCTTTACTTACAAAAGTGATCAAAGCGACAGCTTTGAAGATGATTAGTCCACCACTTTGCCTGTAGAGGGCCCACTCCTTGGTATCTGCTGCATTATTTCTCTCTCTGCACAAATGCATAAGCGGTTTGTACAGAACTCCAGCTGAGTTAACAAGCAGTTATTGGATGATATGTCACTTAAGAAATAAAGATTGAATTCCTTCAGTGTGATTCCTTGTGTTCTAAGGCTCTCTGGCCATTTGATGAGATGGTCACCTTTGCATTATTGATACCACTGTGTTCTGTTTGTTTTATCTCTGAGCACTTACTTAATGCTGACACTTATAAATAATCCCCCTGTTGTTCAGTCACAGTGTAACAACAGTGGTTCAATCCTATGGAACAAATATGTAGGATCCCCCACTGATACGTCAACTACTTGTTCAGCTTTGTTATCTAAAACTAAATCCAGGACCATGTCCTCTCTTGTAGGGCCTTCTCTGTATTAACTTAAAAAGCTCACCTGGATGGATTTTAAGAATTCAGCTCCTGCAAACTTTTCACATAATGACTACCCAAGTTAATGATGGGGAAGTTGAAATCCCCTTCTATCACTATTCTATTATTTTTACACTTGTATGAATTTTGGCTAAAAATCTACACTTCTAAAAACCGAAAGA